ACATATATAGTCATATACAATATATTAACTAATTGAGTTTTTAACGAAAATATTATAAATTTGACTAATAACACGTACATATAAATTTGGTAGGTGTTAAATGGCTATCATGAAGGGAATGAGGTTTTGCAATACCTTGCACTAGGCCCATCATGGACAGTGAATGTGTACAGAGGTTATTATGTCAATGGTTTTAGATTTATGACCCAAAAAGCCAGTAGTGAAAGACAAACATATAACTGTGGTGTATGTGTGAAAGGAACAATCATATCTGATGATGCTGAGACTGATTATTATGGCATCCTTAACGAAGTCATCGAACTATTGTATTATGGACCACATGCGCAAATGCAGACAATTGTCTTGTTCAATTGTGATTGGTTCGATACACGTAGGGGAACACACATTAACCAAGTTTACGACATTGTTGAGGTCAACCCACGATATCAATTGTCGATTGGCGAGCCATTTTGCTTGGCGTGTCAAGCAACGCAAGTGTATTATAGTAGTTACCCATCAAATAATCGAGCAACTCATGGATGGTTCGCCGCATGCAAAATACGTGCTAGACATTTGGTCGACACTTCTTCAACCTCACTTGATATGGAAGAAATATTCCAAGATAAGGAGCCACCATCAACACAATCGAATGAGCATAGTTCCAATTTGGCATCTACAGAACGCGTGAATTTGCATGCATAAGGAGCAACAATAGTTGACTTAAATGGAGATGCAAATGATGATGTTGATGAAAATCCGAGTGAAGGAAATGAAGGATATGAAACAAGAGGCGATGTTGGTGACGATAGTAGTGAGACTGAATAGTCATTAAATAATTGAAGTTCAAGTACAATAATAGTTTTAAAATTTGGTTGTCATTTAAAAATATAAATTTTGTGTATAAGACTTTGTAATTAACAAATATACTTATGAATAACTAGTGACTATTTCTTCAAATTTTGTTTCATTGCCATTATTTATAATGTTGTAAATGTTTATAAATAGAAAATTTATAAACTGCACATATATTTATTTGGTGACATTAGTACTGACATACTTTAGGTGACATTAGTACTGACATACTTTATGTGACCATATGTTTTGCAGGATGTCGAGTGGGCCCATCAACTTCGCGCGTAGTCGCAGCACATCAGGGAGACGAGGACGTCACAACTCTGTAGATCTTATATGTGACGTTACCCCAGTATTGGACGTGGGCCATACTCGGTCTATTAGTCCACAAGGTTCCATTCATGCAGCAGCCTCATCCCATAATGAGAAGCAAAAGGGAAGAGGTCCAAACAAACCAAAAAGGGCTGCAAGAAAAGCAGATGAAAGACCATTTATACAAATTTCGCATAAAGGCACCTTCTTGGATATTGAAGTCCCCAGATTGATTACGACCCTATGGAAGAGGGTTTATGATGGTGATTACTTCACCTATGACTTGTTCCCAGAACAGAAAAGGCTACAAGTGTGGGAGTTGTTTAAGGTAAGAGTAATTATCATTTCATACATAATCCTTCCATCAAATATGTAGCGTATGATTAATGATAACGTAACAACATATATGATAAAGTATAAGTCACTATTGTTAGTGTATTGGTCAATATAGGTAATTTAATGGTATGAATACTGCATACACTTAAAAAAAAAAAAAAAGAAGAAGAAAAGAAAACAATCATCATATGACTGTGGTAAAACAATATGGTATCATAATAGTCATCATATGACACAAAAATCCTTATAATTTTGAGTTTATCAATAAAGTATTAAAAGTTTTGATTCATTTCAATTAACTCTTTCGTATGGACAAAATGGTAATTAAGTATATACGAAAAATGAGATATGATGTATATACATGTGTTATTATACTATATGTTATTAAGTTACATGGAAATAATTTATTTGTATGTGGTGACAGACACATTATCAATGGGGTTTAGAGGATGAGGATGCAGTCCGAAAGACGTTCTTAAGATCAATGAAGAAAGGATGGGGCGATAATATGAAGGATGAACGGGATAAGTGGCGTGCAAACGGTGAGTATAGGCCGGTATGGGTGCCTGAGCACCTATGGCCTACATTATGCGCTTATTGGGATTCTGCTGAGTTTCACAATCTTAGCGAGAGGGGAAAGAAAAACCGAGCATCTGGGGAACGAGTTACACACACTACAGGATCAGTAAGTTTTGATGTACATGAAGAACGGATGGTAAGTAAGAAAAGAAAGAAAAGTGTATATATATATAATAGATAATCAACACAAGTTATATTATTTTTGTATAATTATCGATTAACTACAAATATAATAACTTGCTAACCTCGTATAATATGGTTGTGACACATAGACCAAAGCTACTGGGGGGGTAAGGCCAGCACACCAAGAGCTATACAAGGAAACACATACTTTACGAAAAGGTGTCCCACAAGGACAAGAAGCTCCATGGTGTGGTGACAAACATAAGACTCGGCATGTAAGTGCGAACATACTAAATAAAAAGATTTCTATGAGTGATATAGATTGTTAGAAAAAGTAAATAAAAGGTTTATTAATAAAGTTAGTGGTGTTAAATAGAATATAACAAAAATTTTGCATGAGTAAGTATTAGTATGTGTAGGTGTTAATGAAAATATTTTGTTTGGGTATTGATTGTCTCTCGATGATTGTTACTTTGTTATCACTTGTTCGTAAATAATAATTATTACATTTTCAGCATTGTTATGTGTATACAATGTTTAAAAATTTGCAGTTATATGTTGTAGTTTTTTTTGCATTACTTTTGTAGGATACATACGTCAATGAGTGCTCTGCTACATATGGCTCGGACTCAGCATCATGGCCACCTCGGGACAATGACGCTTGGGCAACTGCTGTTGGGGGATGCCACAGCAATTTCATGCCAGGAATTGGTTCACAGGTAAACCCAGAGGAACTTGGGTTTACATATAGAAAACGACAACCAATGGGGACTTCATATGTGAGCCTAATGATATCAGACATGGCTGAAAAACAAGCCAAAGATAGGGAGGCAATGCAAATGATGCGAGACGAAATAGGGCAAGTCAAAGAGCAACGAGAAGCAATGCAACGGATGCTGGAAGACATGGGGAAGATGCAGGCATCTCTATCGCAGCAATTTGCTACTTTTAGTGCCTACGGGATGCGCCCACCTACTGCTACCCCATCATTGCCTCACACTGGGCAAGCATTTCCTCCTGTAGGGACATCATTCCCTACTGCTGGGCCATCGTTTCATGCTAGTGGGCCATCATTTCCTCATGCAATGCCAATGCAAATGCCAATAGAACCTGCATTCCCTATGGGCCAAATGGGGAGACAATCAGGATCTCCAGGTACACCTTCAACCAATCCCCCACAAGATGATTATGGTTACCAGCCGAGATTTAATGCAGATTACCAAGGTCCATTTGGGCCGGAATGATCAGTGTGCATGAGATTGCGAACGCAAAACTTGGCATGTTCTTGATACTTGAGGAAAATACTTTTAGTTTCTGGGTTTGTGATTTGAACTTGTTAGGACATGTGTGTATATGTCAGTTGGAATTGAATGGTTTGTGGTAATATTAACTGTATTATTATGACTTGCAAGTTTAGAATATGTAAATAGTCATGTTAAATGTTGCACGTGGTACTTATATACTTATCTTTTAATTTATGATTATGAGATGAGGGAATTATATGAGTGGTACATATTTATAATAATGTGATGAATTGAAAATATGTGATATGATAAATGACATTATATATAATGTGATATGGTAAAATCAAAGTGTAGTAAGAACAAGTACAAAAGTTTATGTTACAGAGGATTGAGCATTTCAGGCATGTTAGAGTCGACTATATACATCAAGAATCGACTATCAACCCTCCAAGAGTCGACTGTATAGGAGCAACATTGGACTCGCAAATTCCATCGAGCATGTGCTGCAGTTTAGAGTCGACTTTGTAAATAAAGAGTCGACTCTACCTCTTCCAAGAGTCGACTATATGAAAGCAACATTCGACTCCCAAATTCCAGAGAGGTTCGAGAATCCTGTTGCATGTTAGAGTCGACTCTATGAATTAAGAGTCAACTCTAAATCCTCCAAGAGTCGACTATATAGGATCAACATTCGACTCCCAAATTCCAGAGAGGTTGAAGCACCCTGCTGCAGGTTAGAGTCGACTCTATTAATGAAGAGTCAACTCTAAATCCTCCAAGAGTCGACTATATAGGATCAACATTCGACTCCCACTTTCTAGAGAGGGTCGAGCATCATGCTGCAGGTTAGAGACAACTCTATACATGAAGAGTCGACTCTAATGCCTCCAAGATTCGACTGTGAAGGAGCAACATTCGACTACCAAATTCCAGAGAGCAGGGAAAGTTCCCAGTGGTAGGTATAGTCGACTCTGTTCTTTTAAGAGCCGACTCTTTGAGAAATGAGTCGACTCTTTGAGAAATGAGTCAACTCTTATATTAAAAGTCGACTAAAGGCAAAAAATTGCAGTAAATTTATGTGAAATATTTATGTAGCATGATATACATGTTGATAGATATTTT